GTATAGATTCATGTTTTACTCGCACGGCTTCGGAAGGGCTGGTTTGTTTGTTTGTTTATTGGGGCTTTAGGGCGCGTCGACTGCAAAGGTCATTTTGCGCCCACGGAAGGGCTGGATGACGTCTCATAAAGCTAACCAATAACCATGAAGCAGATAGTGCTGGGGCGGGCGTCCGACGGCTAGTAAGTGGCATTGTCGAGATAAAAAACTCGACCACATACACAGTTAGTTAACACACGCACTTCGCTGGCTGAACAGCTACACATAAATAAATACATCATCGAGCGCAAAAATAAGTCCGCTTCAAACAATCAGGAACACGTCGACATCAGCTGTTATCTTCATGTTATCTTGAGTGGCTGCTTGATTGCATGACCGCAAGTTAATCTTCAAAGGCCTTTCATTGGACGTCCTGTCGAGAATCGCACACACTGTACACAGGGTACACACTAGCGATGTCATTTTCCAAAAAATGTCTGACCGATACCGACCGAAACCAAAATTTGGGGAAAATTTCCGACCGAATACCGACCGATAACATCCCAAGCCAAAATTTGACCGAAATTTGACCGAAATTCTATTTGCTATTACTCTACCCCAAAATTAAAATAATTGGTAAATTCTGATGGAAAATAATGGGAAATGGCATTTCAGTCCAAATCAGTTAATTCCTAACCACTGCAAAATACATTTTGTGGTAGAAGTTACATTGCTAAGGGTAGACTAGGAGCACAATACACATTACACATGGACCTCAGCATTTCACAGATTTGGTTAATTAGAATTGTCAAGAATCTGCTGTGGTCTATGTAAGGAAGAATACTCATTCATGTTGCGAAAGCACGATCAATTAGTAAGTCTAATGGTTGGTAATAGGTATGCTCATGACAACATTCCCTAGGAGAAAAGGCAGAATCAAAACACCACAAAACACATCAACATCAACACTGCTTGGAAACCGGCCTTGAGTCTTGAGATGAGGTCTGAGATACTCTACGAAGAATTTAACACTGAAAATCCAGCTGAAAAGGCAGGTATTAGGTAGGTAGCTCTGAGCCTGAATTTCGTCCAAAAAATGAAATGAAAATTCATTAAACTGGCACCATAGGCAGCGGAACGGGGTGGGGGAGGGCACCGGGGCACCGTGCCCTCCTTTGATTTTGGCATTTTAACATTAGCCCTATGGGTGTTGCATGGAAAATATGGGACCAAAAGTAGGCAGTGCCCCCCTTTGATTGAAGGTGTTCCGCCGCTACTGACTGGCACTTTGTCTTATCTTTATAAGGAAACACAATATGCAGACAAAATTACTACAAAGTGGCGCAAAATAGTAGAACCCAAGTAGAACCAAGGATTGACTTTTAAGATTCTGTCTTCCCTTCCCTAACTAAAGAATGCAAGACGATGACGTAATATTTATTTATATGCCCTTTTGGTTGAATTATTGAAGTGAAATTATTTTCTTGCAGTGAATTACACTTACAATGTTGATTTCATTAGAATTCAATATCGTGTTGGACCATTTACATCAATAAAATCATTCACGAGGCAGCATGTAACAATCCAAAACCTTTTTTGCAGAAACTTAATCAGCTGGTTTAAAGTCTCTGTTATGGCGCATCTGTTTCGAAATCCCTTGTGTTTGGAGATGATGTGGAAGATTCCAGAAAGCGGACGTGGCCCTCTGTAGTTTTTATCAAGATTCCCATGTATTTATGCTTTGGTCATCTAGATTTCAAACATTTGGTTGGTACCTGCAATATTTAAGGAGAATGTGGAATAGTAGAACACCTGTGAAATGTAAATGTGATCACTGCTAAGTGCTTAGTGCTAACTGTCCAGTCTTCAGAAACACATTTCAGTAATTCAAGTTCTTTTTGTCCTTGCATTTTTGATGACTGTAGGTATAATGATTTTTGTAGGCAATACTTCTTTGATTACAGGTGATATCTTAACAGTTAGACTGGAATTGAGTTTCAAAATTGTGTGTACTTGTGGGGCCAACTGAGTCAAAATCAGCCTGCTTGTAGTTGTGGTTGCACAATGGGTGGCTGCTGCCTGCTGGGTGGGATGGGTACTGATTTGAAGTTGCCAAAATGTGGCATCTTTTGTAGCTTTTGGGGGAAATTTTGCAACTCATCATTAACATCCCAATAAATTTCATTTTAACTAGGCAAAAATGGAATACTTTCTCTTTTTGAAAATGGTTTTACTGGCAGGGTGACCGAAAGTGTCCGATTTTTTGGGGGCCTGACCGACCGATTACCGAATCGGCCAGCATATCTTTTCGGTAACCGAAATTTTCGGTAACCGATTGACATCACTAGTACACACCACATACAGACACACGTTGCATCAAATTTACTGACGATCCATTGTCAGATCCCCATTGCGTTCCAGTACAAATCAGTGACTTCATAGAGGGATTCGATTGTCCCCTCCCTCCCTCCGTTTACAGACGGATATCACATTCACTAACGTCGATTCCTTCGTTCACGGGACGTCGGTGCCCCCCGTCCCCGGTACGTACCTTTTCAGGGTGGCCGCTTGGTTCTGTTGGTGAAGGTCGAGTCCGGAGGATGTGTCGCCAAGCCGCCGCTGCTGTCCACCGCCGGCGGCGCAGGCGAGCTAGGGAGGTCAGATGTGGCATTGGGAAAACCAGCCAAATTTCGGCAAGTGTCGAGTGACGACAAGTGTGGTAACCCTGTTCGGCGAGTGTGGTGTTGTTTTTGAAACGTCTAATGCCCAGCCTTCCGCCACTTACAAAGTTGAGGTGTCTGGTGCCGACTACTTTGGAGTGAAGAAAATAGACCCTTGTTAATGGGGTGTGGGGGGGGGGGCAAAATTACATTACTATTTAATGCGGTACACCGGGGACACGGGTAACATGATGATAAAATGAATCAACTTTCTACTATGTCTCGGAAAAAAGTAGTTCGAGGTTCATATAGCAATATTTCCATTCAGGGTAGAATCCAGTGAATCATCGGCTGCGATTAATTTAGGCCTGAAAGTTCCGCATAAGTATCACCAATCACGCCACATAAGTACCGCGGACGTGAAAATTATGAGTTAGGCCAGCTGATATTTTAACACACCGGCGGCTATTTTTCTTGTTCGCGTGGCTTGTGAAACTCGTCGCCGAATAGAAATCACCGCAGTCGGTGACTGCTGTTGGTGAAGCTGGCCTCTGATCTGTACGAGAAACATCTTAAATACTTGACCACTTATTTGAAAAAGGAAATTCGAAAAATGTGTCCCCAGGGCAGGTTTTCTCATGGGCAGAAATGTGTTCAGGGCGGTACGATTGCTGACAGTACTTACCTGAGCTTATGCACCACTGGGGTAAATAATTTGCTTGCGAGTCTGCGTAGCTGTCCGATGGTGTAGAGATATTTCGTGCTAGACTTATGATCATATGAGATCTGATGGTCAGGAGTTGCAAATAAAATGACTAAAATCTAAATTTTTTATCTATTTAAATCGTTTGTTAATTATCATCTTTGATTCGCTACCCTTGACCATCAAACTTCATAAACATGTCTAACAATGCTGAACTGATGAGCATTTGTGCTGGCGGAGGTATTTAATGATTTGGGTGGGGTGATTTTACGAGGGTTTCAGTCGTAAAATCACCCTGTAGTGATTCTGGGTGATTTTAATATTTTACGCTTTAAATTCCCCGGGCCGTGAGCGTTCCCCTCCCTCCACGACGAATAATTGCGATAGCCTCCGAACGCTCAAAGATAGCAGCACGCAACTTTCAGTACCTTTCTCCCATCAATGTTATATCTTCTGGAGTAATAAATTGAACCTAACCCCTTCATGATGTCACACGGTCAACATAAGCAAAAACTATTATATCACCTGCTGATTTTACGTTAAAATACTACTATGATTGCATATAAGATGTAACAATCCTATTGTACCACCTAAAACCTACACCGTAACTCATGTTCCCAGCTCGCTGGGGTAAGGGTCTTTGAAATACCCTAAAGAGGGATCGTAACTCGTAAGGAGCGCACAAGTATCAGCCCGCTGCTAATCAACTTACCCACCCCAGGGCACCTGACATGTACAGGCCACTTCTCACTGCGTGGCAGATCTTCACTTTTGTCCACTAAGCCGATAATATCTCGGATCAGTTTTGTCATCAGTCACTCGGAAATTATAAAGCGAAGACGTGATAGGCCTCAAAGCTAAAATTAGGTCCATCATTGACTACGTTTTCCACAAGTTTTGACAGCAATTAGAGACAACAATTTGTGCATAGCCAAAATACAAACTTTTACTTTTGTTGATGCACTAGATTGAGTTTACTTCGCGATAGACCCAAATGAGATTTAGGAAGTGTGGAGCATCGCGCATGTCTACGTAATGATTTCCGATCGTCTGATAACATTAACTTCCAAGCTATTATCGGCTTTGTTGAAAACAATGCCTATTATAGTACGGCAGTGAGACGAGGGCAGCCGGTATGAAAGGTGGAATTAGGTAGAATTTAGCCCCAGGTAAAAGGCCGTCAGCCACTACAAAAGTACCTAGAAACCTATATAGGAGCATCATTGAAGTACAATTGTGCAAACATCCCACCCCTTACAGGCAAAGGAATACTAGGAGACCTAGATGCGCGGTTTGAATGAACGAAAGCCATTGCATGACAGCGAGGCAGGAGGATCAAATGATTACCAAGCTCATAATCTTAACCTCAATGATGGGACATATTGGGACTTACGGATAGGGTTTTGCTTGTTCCCCAGCTTGGTAACCGTGTTCAGTGACTTGGCCGTAGCTTCGAGTGTTTCGGTCTTGGCCTTCTAGTGGCTTCAGGTCGATGACCTTGATTCTTATTTTTACATCTTCTTGTGATGTCTGAATGTTCTGAGTTTCTGAGTTTCTGATGCCATCCGAACCGCGCACACTTGGTTTTTCAACCCGGTCGAGTTACTTCTAACTTCCGTTTAAGGACTCGTCGATTTCCATCTTAAAAAGAACAGAACTGGTATTAGTGCCAATCTAAAAAGGCCTTTATTGTAACGCCTGAACATGATGAACTGCGCGGACCGAGCGTCGGTGGCCGGTGCCGGTGGGATGACCAGGTGCCGGCCCCGACCAGCCACCGACGCCCAGTGCACGCGCAAACCAAATGAACGTCCGCCGCCGTCCAGGCCCGGCAGACCGAAAACCAATGAGCACTCTCATACCCACAGCACGACACAACACAGTGATGCGGCCGCCCACGGGCGACGGCCGCGCCCCCGTCCCAGGCCACCGGTCCGGCCGCAGCACACTCACACACGCACTCACTCAGCCAGACGCTCGCTCCCACACAGTCAGTCAATAAGACCATTCATACAGCCAGACACACCGGCGACCGGACTGTGCAGTGCACCCCACAGACTGCAGAGCGCTGCAGACTCGCCCCAGTGAGCCGGACACGCAGGCACACACACAGTATGTGGACAGGAGGATCTTCGGGAGAGGCCGGAACGGAGGAGAAGCCGGTAGGTATGCATGTGTGTGTGTGCGAGGGGAGGGTGGCGCGCGGGAGAGAGGGCGCCGCCGTCAGCGGCCGCCGCTGGCTGGCCGCGCCGCGCTCAGTACCTGTACCGACCTGGAAGACGAGAGAGGACAGCACCGGTCAGGCCGGCCGGACCGCAGCGGACCGGCCGCGGCGTCCCACCACCACCGCCTCCAGCAGCGGCACAGACACAGTGACCGAGAGCCCGCCGCCGACGGGCCCAGGACACCGCCAGCCAGCCGAAACAATCAGCCAATGGTGTGCTGCGCTGTCCGTGTCACTCAGTAACAAATGCACCGAATATTTTCGGCACTGTACACACAGCCAAACCCCTTCCTCCCTTAACCCGCGCCCTGCTGGGGGGGAGGGGTGTTTGAACACCCCCCCCTTGTGGTTTTTCGCGAATATCTCAAAAACGGCGGCGCTCCGCGCCGCCGTTTTTGGTACACCTTATCATACATCAATTCTACACATGTTGTGAAAATTTCAGACCAAGGTCATTCAAGGTCAGGTCACCAGGTCACTTGAAGTGACCTCACCTCATAAAAAGTTTCAATGTCTGTCATAGCTACACCGAGTGACCGATCGCTTTGAAACTTTCAGCGATTGCTAAGAGCAATAGCATGTACAAAATGTATATCTCAGAATTTTGATATCGATGACCTAAGGTCAGGTCAATTTTGCGACCTCCCCATTATAGGTCAATGGGAGAAAGTTGAAATGCGCCTCTTTTGGACGAAAGACATTATAAACACTCCCAAACACTGAATTACAAGTGGTTTAGACACACTGAACACACCGACCGACCGATAACATCCCAAGCCAAAATTTGACCGAAATTTGACCGAAATTCTATTTGCTATTACTCTACCCCAAAATTAAAATAATTGGTAAATTCTGATGGAAAATAATGGGAAATGGCATTTCAGTCCAAATCAGTTAATTCCTAACCACTGCAAAATACATTTTGTGGTAGAAGTTACATTGCTAAGGGTAGACTAGGAGCACAATACACATTACACATGGACCTCAGCATTTCACAGATTTGGTTAATTAGAATTGTCAAGAATCTGCTGTGGTCTATGTAAGGAAGAATACTCATTCATGTTGCGAAAGCACGATCAATTAGTAAGTCTAATGGTTGGTAATAGGTATGCTCATGACAACATTCCCTAGGAGAAAAGGCAGAATCAAAACACCACAAAACACATCAACATCAACACTGCTTGGAAACCGGCCTTGAGTCTTGAGATGAGGTCTGAGATACTCTACGAAGAATTTAACACTGAAAATCCAGCTGAAAAGGCAGGTATTAGGTAGGTAGCTCTGAGCCTGAATTTCGTCCAAAAAATGAAATGAAAATTCATTAAACTGGCACCATAGGCAGCGGAACGGGGTGGGGGAGGGCACCGGGGCACCGTGCCCTCCTTTGATTTTGGCATTTTAACATTAGCCCTATGGGTGTTGCATGGAAAATATGGGACCAAAAGTAGGCAGTGCCCCCCTTTGATTGAAGGTGTTCCGCCGCTACTGACTGGCACTTTGTCTTATCTTTATAAGGAAACACAATATGCAGACAAAATTACTACAAAGTGGCGCAAAATAGTAGAACCCAAGTAGAACCAAGGATTGACTTTTAAGATTCTGTCTTCCCTTCCCTAACTAAAGAATGCAAGACGATGACGTAATATTTATTTATATGCCCTTTTGGTTGAATTATTGAAGTGAAATTATTTTCTTGCAGTGAATTACACTTACAATGTTGATTTCATTAGAATTCAATATCGTGTTGGACCATTTACATCAATAAAATCATTCACGAGGCAGCATGTAACAATCCAAAACCTTTTTTGCAGAAACTTAATCAGCTGGTTTAAAGTCTCTGTTATGGCGCATCTGTTTCGAAATCCCTTGTGTTTGGAGATGATGTGGAAGATTCCAGAAAGCGGACGTGGCCCTCTGTAGTTTTTATCAAGATTCCCATGTATTTATGCTTTGGTCATCTAGATTTCAAACATTTGGTTGGTACCTGCAATATTTAAGGAGAATGTGGAATAGTAGAACACCTGTGAAATGTAAATGTGATCACTGCTAAGTGCTTAGTGCTAACTGTCCAGTCTTCAGAAACACATTTCAGTAATTCAAGTTCTTTTTGTCCTTGCATTTTTGATGACTGTAGGTATAATGATTTTTGTAGGCAATACTTCTTTGATTACAGGTGATATCTTAACAGTTAGACTGGAATTGAGTTTCAAAATTGTGTGTACTTGTGGGGCCAACTGAGTCAAAATCAGCCTGCTTGTAGTTGTGGTTGCACAATGGGTGGCTGCTGCCTGCTGGGTGGGATGGGTACTGATTTGAAGTTGCCAAAATGTGGCATCTTTTGTAGCTTTTGGGGGAAATTTTGCAACTCATCATTAACATCCCAATAAATTTCATTTTAACTAGGCAAAAATGGAATACTTTCTCTTTTTGAAAATGGTTTTACTGGCAGGGTGACCGAAAGTGTCCGATTTTTTGGGGGCCTGACCGACCGATTACCGAATCGGCCAGCATATCTTTTCGGTAACCGAAATTTTCGGTAACCGATTGACATCACTAGTACACACCACATACAGACACACGTTGCATCAAATTTACTGACGATCCATTGTCAGATCCCCATTGCGTTCCAGTACAAATCAGTGACTTCATAGAGGGATTCGATTGTCCCCTCCCTCCCTCCGTTTACAGACGGATATCACATTCACTAACGTCGATTCCTTCGTTCACGGGACGTCGGTGCCCCCCGTCCCCGGTACGTACCTTTTCAGGGTGGCCGCTTGGTTCTGTTGGTGAAGGTCGAGTCCGGAGGATGTGTCGCCAAGCCGCCGCTGCTGTCCACCGCCGGCGGCGCAGGCGAGCTAGGGAGGTCAGATGTGGCATTGGGAAAACCAGCCAAATTTCGGCAAGTGTCGAGTGACGACAAGTGTGGTAACCCTGTTCGGCGAGTGTGGTGTTGTTTTTGAAACGTCTAATGCCCAGCCTTCCGCCACTTACAAAGTTGAGGTGTCTGGTGCCGACTACTTTGGAGTGAAGAAAATAGACCCTTGTTAATGGGGTGTGGGGGGGGGGGCAAAATTACATTACTATTTAATGCGGTACACCGGGGACACGGGTAACATGATGATAAAATGAATCAACTTTCTACTATGTCTCGGAAAAAAGTAGTTCGAGGTTCATATAGCAATATTTCCATTCAGGGTAGAATCCAGTGAATCATCGGCTGCGATTAATTTAGGCCTGAAAGTTCCGCATAAGTATCACCAATCACGCCACATAAGTACCGCGGACGTGAAAATTATGAGTTAGGCCAGCTGATATTTTAACACACCGGCGGCTATTTTTCTTGTTCGCGTGGCTTGTGAAACTCGTCGCCGAATAGAAATCACCGCAGTCGGTGACTGCTGTTGGTGAAGCTGGCCTCTGATCTGTACGAGAAACATCTTAAATACTTGACCACTTATTTGAAAAAGGAAATTCGAAAAATGTGTCCCCAGGGCAGGTTTTCTCATGGGCAGAAATGTGTTCAGGGCGGTACGATTGCTGACAGTACTTACCTGAGCTTATGCACCACTGGGGTAAATAATTTGCTTGCGAGTCTGCGTAGCTGTCCGATGGTGTAGAGATATTTCGTGCTAGACTTATGATCATATGAGATCTGATGGTCAGGAGTTGCAAATAAAATGACTAAAATCTAAATTTTTTATCTATTTAAATCGTTTGTTAATTATCATCTTTGATTCGCTACCCTTGACCATCAAACTTCATAAACATGTCTAACAATGCTGAACTGATGAGCATTTGTGCTGGCGGAGGTATTTAATGATTTGGGTGGGGTGATTTTACGAGGGTTTCAGTCGTAAAATCACCCTGTAGTGATTCTGGGTGATTTTAATATTTTACGCTTTAAATTCCCCGGGCCGTGAGCGTTCCCCTCCCTCCACGACGAATAATTGCGATAGCCTCCGAACGCTCAAAGATAGCAGCACGCAACTTTCAGTACCTTTCTCCCATCAATGTTATATCTTCTGGAGTAATAAATTGAACCTAACCCCTTCATGATGTCACACGGTCAACATAAGCAAAAACTATTATATCACCTGCTGATTTTACGTTAAAATACTACTATGATTGCATATAAGATGTAACAATCCTATTGTACCACCTAAAACCTACACCGTAACTCATGTTCCCAGCTCGCTGGGGTAAGGGTCTTTGAAATACCCTAAAGAGGGATCGTAACTCGTAAGGAGCGCACAAGTATCAGCCCGCTGCTAATCAACTTACCCACCCCAGGGCACCTGACATGTACAGGCCACTTCTCACTGCGTGGCAGATCTTCACTTTTGTCCACTAAGCCGATAATATCTCGGATCAGTTTTGTCATCAGTCACTCGGAAATTATAAAGCGAAGACGTGATAGGCCTCAAAGCTAAAATTAGGTCCATCATTGACTACGTTTTCCACAAGTTTTGACAGCAATTAGAGACAACAATTTGTGCATAGCCAAAATACAAACTTTTACTTTTGTTGATGCACTAGATTGAGTTTACTTCGCGATAGACCCAAATGAGATTTAGGAAGTGTGGAGCATCGCGCATGTCTACGTAATGATTTCCGATCGTCTGATAACATTAACTTCCAAGCTATTATCGGCTTTGTTGAAAACAATGCCTATTATAGTACGGCAGTGAGACGAGGGCAGCCGGTATGAAAGGTGGAATTAGGTAGAATTTAGCCCCAGGTAAAAGGCCGTCAGCCACTACAAAAGTACCTAGAAACCTATATAGGAGCATCATTGAAGTACAATTGTGCAAACATCCCACCCCTTACAGGCAAAGGAATACTAGGAGACCTAGATGCGCGGTTTGAATGAACGAAAGCCATTGCATGACAGCGAGGCAGGAGGATCAAATGATTACCAAGCTCATAATCTTAACCTCAATGATGGGACATATTGGGACTTACGGATAGGGTTTTGCTTGTTCCCCAGCTTGGTAACCGTGTTCAGTGACTTGGCCGTAGCTTCGAGTGTTTCGGTCTTGGCCTTCTAGTGGCTTCAGGTCGATGACCTTGATTCTTATTTTTACATCTTCTTGTGATGTCTGAATGTTCTGAGTTTCTGAGTTTCTGATGCCATCCGAACCGCGCACACTTGGTTTTTCAACCCGGTCGAGTTACTTCTAACTTCCGTTTAAGGACTCGTCGATTTCCATCTTAAAAAGAACAGAACTGGTATTAGTGCCAATCTAAAAAGGCCTTTATTGTAACGCCTGAACATGATGAACTGCGCGGACCGAGCGTCGGTGGCCGGTGCCGGTGGGATGACCAGGTGCCGGCCCCGACCAGCCACCGACGCCCAGTGCACGCGCAAACCAAATGAACGTCCGCCGCCGTCCAGGCCCGGCAGACCGAAAACCAATGAGCACTCTCATACCCACAGCACGACACAACACAGTGATGCGGCCGCCCACGGGCGACGGCCGCGCCCCCGTCCCAGGCCACCGGTCCGGCCGCAGCACACTCACACACGCACTCACTCAGCCAGACGCTCGCTCCCACACAGTCAGTCAATAAGACCATTCATACAGCCAGACACACCGGCGACCGGACTGTGCAGTGCACCCCACAGACTGCAGAGCGCTGCAGACTCGCCCCAGTGAGCCGGACACGCAGGCACACACACAGTATGTGGACAGGAGGATCTTCGGGAGAGGCCGGAACGGAGGAGAAGCCGGTAGGTATGCATGTGTGTGTGTGCGAGGGGAGGGTGGCGCGCGGGAGAGAGGGCGCCGCCGTCAGCGGCCGCCGCTGGCTGGCCGCGCCGCGCTCAGTACCTGTACCGACCTGGAAGACGAGAGAGGACAGCACCGGTCAGGCCGGCCGGACCGCAGCGGACCGGCCGCGGCGTCCCACCACCACCGCCTCCAGCAGCGGCACAGACACAGTGACCGAGAGCCCGCCGCCGACGGGCCCAGGACACCGCCAGCCAGCCGAAACAATCAGCCAATGGTGTGCTGCGCTGTCCGTGTCACTCAGTAACAAATGCACCGAATATTTTCGGCACTGTACACACAGCCAAACCCCTTCCTCCCTTAACCCGCGCCCTGCTGGGGGGGAGGGGTGTTTGAACACCCCCCCCTTGTGGTTTTTCGCGAATATCTCAAAAACGGCGGCGCTCCGCGCCGCCGTTTTTGGTACACCTTATCATACATCAATTCTACACATGTTGTGAAAATTTCAGACCAAGGTCATTCAAGGTCAGGTCACCAGGTCACTTGAAGTGACCTCACCTCATAAAAAGTTTCAATGTCTGTCATAGCTACACCGAGTGACCGATCGCTTTGAAACTTTCAGCGATTGCTAAGAGCAATAGCATGTACAAAATGTATATCTCAGAATTTTGATATCGATGACCTAAGGTCAGGTCAATTTTGCGACCTCCCCATTATAGGTCAATGGGAGAAAGTTGAAATGCGCCTCTTTTGGACGAAAGACATTATAAACACTCCCAAACACTGAATTACAAGTGGTTTAGACACACTGAACATGAAAATGGTGTCCGTGACCCCTGTTTATGCCCTGAGGTCATCTTAGGTCACGAATGGTATCTAACAGTTTTTCGCAAATAACTTTTGATAGAGGCATGCTAGAGCGATGAAAACGCCTTAGATGTGTTCAGCTCGACGATACGGATCGACTGATATGCAACATGACCCTTTCCGGTCAGGTCATGACCTTGACCTGAGGTCAAATTTTCAAGTTGACCTTTCAAGGTCAAGTTATAGTTCATTCGATGCGTCTTGACGAGAGGAACACGATGCCGGTAACAGTAAGCTCGTACAAGGTTCGGGTCAAAAGTTATTGCAGAAAAACTGTTTCCGAAAAAAATCGGTTATTTTTGCAGTTTTTGCCCCCTGCAGGCAAAACCGTTGACGTTAGGTCAAATCTGAGACGATTACTCAGAAAGGGCGTTAATAGGGCTATCGATTGCGCTTTTCCGCGGCGCTGTAGCTCTATTGGTTCCCGAGTTATGCGTGGGCTTCTTGGAAATTGTCGACATTCGACCTGGAAATCGGCGAAATTTTGCCTTCAATGACCTCTGGTGACCTGACCTTTGACCTGACCAAAAAATTGACCGAAGTGATTTCGTCATTATTTTTGACGCTCTTTCGAACGCCGCCTTCCGCGTATCGCTACGTGGCCCAGGAGCCGAGTTAGAAGGGGGGGGGGGTGTTCAAACACCATCCCCCCCCCCCCCAGCAGGGCGTGGAAATCCAGGACCCCCAGCCGGGCGCGGGTTAACTACAATAACATTTAATGGAGAGAAAATTAATCAGTCTTCGTAACAAATTGATCTTCAATTAACTTTTACTTTGGCTTCTTCAGATACACGGAAAATAGCAAACGTCAAAAGGAAAAAAATCAGCACACAAAAGAAATAGCACGACGGAGGCGTTTGCTATTCCACCACTGAGAAGGGACGAAAACTGTAAAGCCTACGGTAAAAACGAGTTGCCCACCTCCCCGAGCATGCAAACCTTCAACCGACACGAAACACATAGCGCACAGACACGGACGGAAGCAGATGAAGGAGATAATAGTTCGAACAGCATACATAGGGTTCTTGATAGGAGTTGCCTAACGATTTTAGACAACTCGCCGTAATTATGGACTCAGCTAACATGATTCGTACTTTTTCCAAGAGATGAAAGGAATGCGATCAATTACTGCAAAAATGCTTCTCATATCTCGAGACTTATATGATCGGGGTAAGGGCAGAATGTAGCATTTTAGGGGCAGGGGATAAGTAGCAAAACTTAAATAGGTAATTTAAACAAAAATTTGACTTCAATAGCTAACTGTCATCGCTAGCAACGGCTGGCAAGTCTTAATATAAAATCATTCTTTGGCACGTACTCACCTTGTTATGCAAGCGATTGTGCACGCTTCAACGATACCAAGACGCCACCTTTATAATTTGTCAGAGGTAGCAGAGTTAACTGCCTGTGCTCAGTTCTCACCTCCGTCATATTCACGGCGTGGCGAGTAGGAGCGGCTGCGCGAGCGGCGGTAGCGCCGGCCGCCTCCGTAGTAGGGCGACGGCGAACGCCGGTAGTCGTCCCGCCGGTAGTCGTCGCGCCGATAGTCGTCCCGGTAGTAGTCGTCACGCCGGTCGTAGCCGCCGCGCCGATCGTAGTCGCGCCGGTCGTCGTAGCGGTCGTAGCCGCCGTGGCCACCGCCGTAGCCACCGTAGCCGCGACGGCCCCGGGAGCGACGGGAGAACCTGGCCCAGTCAACAACCGTTAGAACAGAGTACACTTACACTTCGCAAGTGAACAGTTTTTTTTTTTACGCCAACTAATAAAGCAGGATTTCATGTCAGGATCTTGACAGGATCTATAAGAAAAGGATGTGGATTAGATGCATGAACTGTATTATGTAGCCTATTCGTTGAAAACTTTTTTCAAAGATGAAAAATGATACCATTTCTGATTTTTGGGATAAAAATATTTTCCTTTAGGTGTGATCTTCCACCCAAAATTTTGAAAAATAAAAAGTGAGGGAGGGGAGAGAGCGAGAGCGAGAGCAAGAGCGAGAGCGAGAGCGAGAGCGAGAGCGAGAGCGAGAGCGAGAGCGAGAGCGAGAGCGAGAGCGAGAGAGAGAGAGAGAGAGAGAGAGAGAGAGAGAGAGAGAGAGAGAGAGAGAGAGAGAGAGAGAGAGAGAGAGAGAGAGAGAGAGAGAGAGAGAGAGAGAGAGAGAGAGAGAGAGAGAGAGAGAGAGAGAGAGATGTGCAGTGTACACACAACACTGTCACAAAGCACCATAATAAGGACTTACTGAGAGGGACGGCCCATGTAGATTCCGGGCGTCGGTGTGTGCGGCCGCTTGGTGATGGAGAAGTCCACGCGGATCTTGCGGTTATCGATCTCGATGCCGTTGCAGTCCTCCTTGGCACGCTTGGCATCCTCCAGATTCTCAAAGTAGACGAAGGCGAAGCCACGGGACCGGCCCGTCTGTCGGCGAAATATCGGACATGTTCTTTCTATTTGTTTGTTGCGGGTAAGGGGCGGATATGTTCTTTCTACGATAGGAATGTATTTACGTGATATAACATAAATAACATAGACTCTTAGACATAAGATCCCAGTAAGATCCCAGTGCTGAGTGGGCTAGCTGCGGTCATTTATATATAAGCCTTGGTTTCGTGCTGTGACGATACTCGCATTGAGGTGAGGCACCGGTTGCCACACGGATAAGAACGAACTGTGCCGGAGGTCGTCAACGGCGAAAAATGACCGAGCAGAAATTCCACAACCCCTCCAAGGGTTCGAGAAGTGATACGTTTATCAAATGAATTGACGACCAACGAACTTTGAAAAGCCCATTCAGTAGGCCGTTACGTTTGGTCATACCTAAAAAATCGCATTCCTTCATTCTTCCCAACACACGACAAAGCGTCATCTCAACGTGTCACTCTTCACATGGACAAATTTAGAAACAAATCGCTCACGAGCATTTAAATAAAACGCGAGTAACTGTCAAATGACTGCAGAAACCCACTTCCCACTACCTTGCCATATGACATAGCTAAGCACAGTTGAATCCAAGATGCTTCAGTAAGAAAGCAAGCCTTGACTGACCTGGGCATCGGTGACGATGGTGATCTCGTCGATGTTGCCGTACTTGGAGAAGACGTCACGCAGGTGCCGCGTCTGGGTGTACAGACTCAGTCCAAATACGCCCAGGCAGCGGGTGGCAGACGGATTTTCCTGTGGCACACCGACCAGCACCGTCAAACCGCATCGAGCTGCGACTGACCACACTCTGATGGTAGCATGATAGCACTCAGCAGCAGTATTCAGAGTTCACACGAAACATGGGAAGAAAGTAGAAACACGGTTTAAAATATTGAGGTATGTCTGACACAACTGGCAATCCCAGCCAGCCCTCGCTGACACTGCACTCACCCTGTCGCCGAGGTGGCGGCGTCGGTTGGAGCCCGGCGACCGGCTGCGCTGCCGGGTTCGCTTCGGCGAGTAGCTGCGTGACCGGTCCCGTTCCCGCGAGCCGGACTTGGACCTGAAACCGGGCACACATTTCAGAATTGTGATTATCGTTGGAGCTTAGGGGCACTGCATCATCTGTCGCACAACAGACAAGAAGCACCTTCGGTGACAGTAGTCACTATTGTAATGTGATAATATGACATTGTAACGGCGATACACTCACCGTGAGGCAGCCCGTTTGTTACGCCGTTCCGGGCTGTACGAGTCCGCTGAACCGTTTGGTGTTCCCTCCTTCACATTTCGCTCCGGTGAACTCTGAAAAAGGACATAATCAAAAGTGGGCTTCTCCAGCAACAAAGAAATTAGATGAGAGCATGTGATAACACACCAGTAAATACCACATCTCTGACAACACTTGGCTAGTGGGTGAAAATGTGCTGCACCCTGTGGTTTTTGCGAGCCCCACCGGCCAGTGTCTCCTTCCAGACAGTAATGTGATCCTCAGCCAAGCATCCGCCATCCCGTCACCTACGCAGACTTGTAAGCGATTCAACTCTGATTGAATCGATTCTCATGAATTGCTTGAAAATGCCGACTCACTGTGATTGAGTCGGTTGAATCACCTCTTGTCACCTCTTGTCACCATATGAATCCTGATTGAATCGGTCACACATGGCAACTGCAAGTGATTGAATCGGCAACTCATCGATTCAAGTTGATTGAATTAACAAAATGATTCAATCACCATGTGCTGAAAATTGAAGTTATGACCATATTTAGTACTATATTATGTACAAATATATGTGGCATTTGCGTCATAGTCACACACAATGCACTGCAAAATTTTTAGGTATTTTGTCAGTATTATAAATGCGCACAGCTATCATTATTGAAAAAAAAAACATAAAAATTTTGTTTTAAGTTTTTAATCAAACTGTAAACACAAATTATACATAAATGTCAGTGCATGTAGATGAAAAAATGAATGTAATGTTTCTTTCCATTGCCCTAAAATCAGTATAGTAATCAAGTTAACAGTAGCAGTAAGCAGGCGCACATTGCTCAACACACATGTTTTAGATATCATGTTAATCTTTATATTTTCAATACCCTGTTTCATCAGGACATTTGTGAGTAAGCAAAACATATTGATGAATACACAATGCATGTTTACATTATAATTTGGTAACCTTATACTGATTTGATTTTGGGGTAAGGGTCATAAATTGCTTGATCTAACCCATGGTCTTCTCACTCACTTTACATTTCCCAGCAGAATCAGCGTTTACCTATCACCGTAAATAATTGGAATACCTTGGCTTATGAGCGTTGATGGATCTGTCACATATTGCCGTGGTGGCTCCCAATTACACAAAAGTAGATACATACCCTACTAGGTATTAACCCGCGCCCTGCTGGGGGGGGGGGGGGTGTTTGAACACCCCCCCTTGTGGTTTTTCGCGAATATCTCAAAAACGGCGGCGCGGAGCGCCGCCGTTTTTGGTACACCTTATTATACATCAATTCTACACATGTTGTGAAAATTTCAGACCAAGGTCATTCAAGGTCAGGTCACCAGGTCACTTGAAGTGACCTCACCTCATAAAAAGTTTCAATGTCTGTCATAGCCACACCGAGTGACCGATCGCTTTGAAACTTTCAGCGATTGCTAAGAGCAATAGCATGTACAAAATGTTTATCTCAGAATTTTGATATCGATGACCTAAGGTCAGGTCAATTTTGCGACCTCCCCGTTATAAGTCAATGGGAGAAAATTGAAATGCGCCTCTTTTGGACGAAAGACATTATAAACACTCCCAAACACTGAATTACAAGTGGTTTAGACACACTGGACATGAAAATGGTGTCCGTGACCCCTGTTTATGCCCTGAGGTCATCTTAGGTCACGAATGGTATCTAACAGTTTTTCGCAAATAACTTTTGATAGAGGCATGCTAGAGCGATGAAAACGCCATAGATGTGTTCAGCTCAACGATACGGATCGACTGATATGCAACATGACCCTTCCCGGTCAGGTCATGACCTTGACCTGAGGTCAAATTTTCAAGATGACCTTTCAAGGTCAAGTTATAGTTCATTCGATGCGTCTTGACGAGAGGAACACGATGCCGGTAAAAGTAAGCTCGTACAAGGCTTGGGTCAAAAGTTATTGCAGAAAAACTGTTTCCGAAAAAATCGGCTATTTTTGCAGTTTTTGCCCCCTGCAGGCAAAACCGTTGACGTTAGGTCAAATCTGAGAGAATTACTCAGAAAGGGCGTTAATGGGGCTATCGAATGCGCTTTTCCGCGGCGCTGTAGCTCTATTGGTTCCCGAGTTATGCGTTGGCTTCTTGGAAATTTTCGACATTCGACCTGGAAATCGGCGAAATTTTGCCTTCAATGACCTCTGGTGACCTGACCTTTGACCTGACCAAAAAATTGACTGAAGTGATTTCCTCATTATTTTTGACGCCCTTTCGAACGCCGCCTTCCGCGTATCGCTACGTGGCCCAGGAGCCGAGTTAGAAGGGGGGGTGTTCAAACACCCCCCCCCCCCCAGCAGGGCGTGGAAATCCAGGACCCCCAGCAGGGCGCGGGTTAAAAAACAACCACCTTCCCATCACGTCCACCATCACCCAAAAACTATTGTTATCATAGATCAACAAACAATCTTTATCCGTTTGGTGTTCTTCACCTTCTAGTTTTGAGGACCGCTAACAGTTTTGCATTCGATGCTAAATTCGGATTAGAGATTTGCCAGACTGCTCGCAATATTTGCCACATGCAAACCACGCAAAATACGCTTTCATGTCGCAGTTGCGTCAATATACGCTGCAACTACCTAGTGCTGGGCTAAATGCATATTGCCAAACCAATTTAGATTTCTACTGTTGGATATTTTTTCTTTAATGAATTGGACAGGATAAAAAACTGTTTTACACGCATGCACAAATATGCTTAATTGAATCTAAAAATATAAACTATGTATTTTATCCATGGTTCTGCTGCTAAATTAAAGATGGCTGCCCACTTAGCGCATGCGTACTTCAGTACTAAAGGCCTGGCTACACTATGCGTGTTCTGCGTGCGTTTTTGCGAGCTTGCATGTTTTGCGTATATTATATAAACGTTAATAAAGCCTTTTATGATAATTTAATAATTAATTTTTTTATAAAGCAATACTCAGTCAATTGGTTCATTTAATAAACATATCGTTGAGTACTGGAACATTTCCTGAAAGTATGAAGATGGCTGTGGTGAAGCCATTATACAAATCTGGAAGTAAAAATATATTTAGCAACTATAGACCCATTAGTATCCTTCCCTATCTTTCCAAACTTCTAGAAAAGATTGTACACCAGAGAATCAATGCATACCTCATACAGAATGACATATTATGTAAGGATCAATTTGGCTTTCAAAAATCCTTATCAACATACATGCCTATAGTACTCCTGCAAGAACGAATAACAAAAAGCATGGAAAATGGGAAAATGTCCTCAGCGGTATTCATTGACCTTAAAAAAGCATTTGATACAGTGAACCACAACATACTCATCAGCAAATGTCGTAAATACGGATTTACTGGTCGTGCTCTTCGCTTTATCAAGTCATATCTCACAAACAGACAACAATGTGTAGAATTTAAAAGTACTAGATCCTCTTTTCAAAGTATTAAGCTAGGAGTGCCCCAAGGCTCTATCCTAGGCCCCTTACTCTTCCTTATATACATAAATGACTTGGTGAAAATACACAGGAACTACAAGAAAATATGAATAAAGAACTTGAAGCTGTATCCATTTGGCTTCAAGCAAACAAACTCACACTCAACGTACAAAAAACCATTTACCAAGTATACAACCAAATGGGTAATATCATTAATTTGAACATTATGATACATGGTGAAAAAATTGAAATAGCAGAAAAAGTAAAATATCTAGGCATCACTATTGACCCTGCCTTGAAGTGGAAATACCACATCGATAACATAGCAATCATTATCAGTAGAAATATTGGAATCTTGAGTAGAGCGAAGTACTTTCTTCCTGAAAAGTCATTACTCTTGCTCTACAACTCACTGATTCTTCCTTACTTAAACTATTGCTGCCTAATCTGGGGTTTCACATATCCAACTTATCTCCACAAAATCGAAGTATTACAAAAACGAGCAGTTCGAATTATAGTAAATGAACATCGTCTTGCACATACTATGCCCATATTTCGTAAGCTCAATGTTCTTAAAGTAAACGCACTAGCTAGACAACAACTTATCATGTTCATGTATCGAAAATTCGCTTCACATTTACCATCACAACTTAACCAATTGTTTGCTACAGTAGATCAGGATAATATAAGAACAAGAAATAGACAACATTTTCACGAACCCTTCTCGGCAAAACGTTATCGTGCACAAATAGCATCATGGATAGGACCGCGTGTCTGGAATAATGTCGTTGCATCCCAATTCTCTATAACAACCATTAACCCGCGCCCTGGTGTGGGTCTGAGCCACCTTCGCCCTGGTGGGGGGGGGGCCAAAATGACCCCCCCCCCGTCTAACTCGAAAACGAAGAGGGCTAGGAAGACGCAGAAAAAAGCAAACGAAAGCCCATAACAAGTACGTTCGAAAGTATTTCGGTCATTTTTTCGCTAAGGTCAATATTGAGGTCGCTAGAGGTCATCATAGGTCAAATTTCAGTGTTTTCGGTGTTGCCGGACATATTCCGCTGTAGCTCGGAAACTAGAAGAGCTAGAGAGCCGCGGAAAAAAGCAATCGATAGCTCTTTTCAAGCTCTTTCGCCAAGGTTCGTCAGATTTGACCTCAGCTCAACGGTTTGGCCTACAGAGGTCATGCAAGGTCAACTTGGCAAATTTCGTTGAAAATGTTTTTAACTATAGCATGCATTCACGAGAAAATAGAGAAACGATTCATGCACCATCGTGCTTGGCTCGTCGAGACGCGTCGAATGATATATAGTTTGACCTCGAAAGGTCATTTTGAAAATTTGACCTCAGGTCAAGGTCATGACCTTACCGAAATAGGTCATGCTGCATATCATTCGATCCGCATTGACGAGACAAACACGATAAACGTCGAACGGAGTCTCTATCTCTATTCAATAACAAGTAAGTGCAGAAAAACCGCTGGTGACCTCTGGTGACCAGGGAGATGACCTAGCGTGACCTCAGCGAGGTCACAAGCAAATGGTTTCACATGGGCTGTGATTTGCTGACCCAAGACACTTCAATAACGAAATATAGGAACAATCACGCCCGATTTAGCTGAAAAACAACTACTTTTCGATTCTCCCATT